AATGAAGCTAAAAGGCTAGGAAGATTTGTGCCGTGTATCCATAGCTAAATTTGTGATTAACACATTAATAGTATATCACACAAAATATTGATATCCGACAAACACTGATATCAACATATAATAGTTATCTTCAACTAAAATTCATTTATAACTTAGATAGACTGCCTGCCCTGTTAAGTCAGATGTCGGTACAACATCATATCGTTCTCAGTGCGGACTGCTCTTATATACATATACGTATACATATATACATATACATGTACATATAATATATATATATGAGCGCAAGCTGAGGCCGATATAAATAACATCTATCAAGATCCTAGTCATAACAGATTAACTAAGCCGCAGTGGAATTTTTCGCAGGTAAGCAGAATGTTAAATAAGTTAGGACTAAGAAGTTAGATGTTTGGATAAAGTCCAGAGAAATGTGAAATTTGGTAGACACGAAGTGAGATAAGTTTTCAAAATGTGTGATTGGTCGCGAAAATGTCTAAGAAGGCACAATTTGTACTTCGGTTCATAAGCAAAACACTTTTTTTTTCTATTTTAAATACGTATATCATATTAGAGGTGGTGTGTAAATAATAAATATGTTAACATTGATCCTTAATAAAATAGAACTTCGTCACATCGAAAGTGCGATTGGCACCCCTGAATGTATCGTTGCGTCAACTGATTAACGGTCACAATCATCATCATTATTGAAGAAGAATACTTGTATAAAGCAATTTTGCGCAGTACTGCAAATTGTGCATAAAAGCACGTTTTGACTTGACGCGGAACCGAGAGTGCACCCCTTTTTCTACCCAAAAAGTGGTATCGATCCCGAGGATTCGGCAAGACCGCGTGGAAACAGATAACGGATGGTCGATAGCGCCGCAAGCACTGCGTCCAGTAGACGATTTCGAGGATCTGGCTCGGGGAAATCTGGGTTTTCACGGATTGTCCACTCCGTTAAGTTTACGTCGCTGTTAACCGATCGCCCGCAACGTTCTTTAGCCCTAAAGTTGACAATATTGGCGTCCAACGTAACAACAGATACGGTGACTAGCTTATATATCCTGTCTAATGGTAGTTGACTGTAATTATAAAAATCCTAATAGATCGATACGTAACAGCTACTTGCAAAGAATGGAATTGAAGTGACATGATCATTTAACATAGATGCTTGTAGCAGAAATAATAATATAATTTTACATAAATAACTTAACATATCTATCTACATAAAAGCTTGCCTTTATTTGGTAACGGTTATCCTAAACCGGCAAAAATTCTCACTGAGCTTTTATCGTGTGTGCATCTTGGCTATATTTAGGCCCGCTATTTAGCGTAACTAGACATTTAAGTAATACGGTCAACATTTGCCGCTAGCGCTAGTTTAGTATAACATCCGTACAAGTTGTCATCTACGCAGTCCGTGGTTTGCATTATAGCTAACGAGAAGCCTTTGCTTTTCCTACGTAAGCCACTTACTCAGTGCAGTTGCCACTAGGTGCAATGGTTGTGCTGGGCACTTTGGTGAAACACTTGGGTTTAATAATCGTAAAATAAAGGTATCCGACCGCCTCGGACGAATCGCTGCCGTTTCCAGCCACGTTGCGCAGGAGACACTCCCGAAATCGCGAATCGCTCTCACAACTACTCCTGCAATAGTACAGAATCGACTATGAAACATCAACTCAGACCCTCTGTAGAGATGAGTGTCACAGGGTGGGAATAGCCATACTAGAATGCAGAGGGTCAAGTACAGCCATACCCGAAATAAGTACATATTTAAAAGGATACCCAGCAAAACTGACTTTTTTTTGCGCTCAAATATGGTACCATCAAAGATATCGCGGGAAAATTCGCAACATAACTGTTCCTGACCAACTGACCAACCAAGGATAGCGAAGCTTTACAAGTTTAAAGCTTGCTCTAGGCTTATATTGATAGACCTTCCTACCACAGAAGCTACAACAGTGAGCGCTGCCAGATCTGAAAATGGCTCTCAGGTAGTGTGAGCCAGTGACAGAGCTATTTGTTTATTAACATCTTGCAGACACATAATCGGTTTCAACGTTTTTATTTCCTGAATAAACGTGTTTAATTATTTATGTTTGTTTTTGACAAATAGCTAAATTGCAAAATACTAACATTGTAAATGAGTACTTATTGTGAATATTGCCGTAATCGTGGGCAATCTGGCCGGCGGCGATATAATCACTGTTCAAATCATGTTCCCGGCAGCACGCGTCGGTTTCGTTATGGGCTCCCAGACGTTCGGTGTCATTATTTGCTTTGTTTCCAGCGCCACACCAGATCGTTCCTTTCATCGTAGAGAAGACAAATGACGGTTTTTTTTTTTTTTTTCTCTTTTTTTTCTTATGCAAACCAGTCACTATCGGAATAAGTTCTAAAGAATGTTTAGGTATTAGTTCGTTCAACAGGACCATGGCGATCCTTGTTCATGATACAGGTGTTCATGTAAACGAGCATAATTTTACCGTGCTGAGATTTAGTGCTATATTTTCAACGAATCAAGACAGACTTACCAGGAAATATGAGCAACATTTTTTTAAGAGAATCTGTAAAAAGACGGGATGCAATGCGTCGCCAGCTGCGTCCAACCACACGTCTCGAAGTTCCTAAAATATACATATAATCTCCATATAAATTTCCAACATTATGTTCTATCTTTTTTTTTTGTCGTTACAAAAGAAACATCAAATTAACTGTTTGTAATGTTCTCTTATCTCACGATCTTTTTAATACAACGTATTTTGTGCGTATGGAAAAAATGTCAATTTGTTTCGACCCAGACTATGGTTCTAGGGAGAACGCATTGAAAACAAAGGATGAACCATACTAAAGCATCTACCAAAGAGTTGAAATGTAGCTGCTGAACTCGATGTTGTCGTCTGCATTGTAGGTCTTCTGTCAGCAACGTCAGCACCCTCTTCCAGGCCCAGGCTTTCCTCCACTTTCTTACGGTGGGCGTCCCAAGCCGCCATCACCTTCATCGTTATAAAAACATTGACTGATTATCAATCAGAGAACATACATATGAAAAATAAATCATGACTGAAGGGAAAATAGTCGAGTAGCATTCACACATAAGAAGGAGTTTTTTTTTGTTTCGTACAAGCAAAAATTAAATATCGGAAACGTGGAACAAACAATAATTAATGCTGGGCAGCATTCGTGACGTACAAAAATAACAAAATACAGAAAGCGGAGAGGTACATCAAAGTCTAGATCGTAATTGCAATTTTGGGGCTAAAGATTCGTATACGCGCAAAACATGTTTAATGTAAGTATAAAAACTTGCCAAAAAGCAGAAATATGCTTGCCTTGCCACTAACTTTTCTATTGGCGTATTACACGCAGGCGTCTGTTTGTCGAGTCATTTTCGGGATGAGATTATAATCCAGGCATAATTAACTAGTAGATGGTAAATAATTTCCAATTTTTTAGTTTTAAAACTTCATTGGTCCTGAAGTGTTAAATTTACAGTTACGATTCGGATAATGTATCGGGCAGACATGCAGCTGAACCTAGTCAGCTCTCGGTGAGAACCTTGTCCTATTATTCACTTGCCTATCTAAAATGCACTGCCTTTTTGAGGCGGCTCGCTCAGACAAATCGGATATTTTGGAAATGCAAATTAAGCTAGAACATATTATTAACACAATTGTTTTCACTGCATAGGGTACAATTAATCTTCATTTTGTTAGAAAGTTATATCGATATTAGTATTATCGGATAGCCTTACCTTGGCAAGCTGCTGGACGCGATTTGGGTCAACGACATCACTCATTTCCGCAAATTTTTGCTCTACCTCGTCCATCAGCTGTGGAAGTCCCTCGAGCGGCCGATGATCAAGATTAAGCTCCCGATGTATCACTGACTTATCCGAAGATCGCGAATTATCTTGGACAGCAGGATTTTTATGAGGTACGCTACCACTCGTCTGGCTAGATAGAACAAGTCGAGTGGCCCCCTTGTTCGACGGCCCAGAGCTTACTCCTTGGGTTAAATCAGTCGTACTACTGCTCACCTTCGATAGCGTTACGTCGCTATCACCAGTATTGGTTAATAGATTGCTGCTTCCTTTAGGTAGAACGGCACCACTTGTCTGACTGCCTGACAAACTGGACCCGCCACTCCCATGGCCTGGAACAACAACAACTCCATTCTCTTCGTTCGTCAGGACAGAGTTGCTTCGATGGCCTGATGCCACAAGGGTGTTCCGCAAGTTCGGTAACAAAGCATTACTCTTTCCTTGCTGAACTGATTCAGATGCAGCACCTGTTGCTTGCGAAAATATAGAACCACTATCTTGAATGGCAATTTGGCTCTGAGCTATACCGGCATGACCATCTTTTTGATCGGATAGTGAAGCCCCGCTAGTGGTCTGGCCAGAATTTACCGAATCGTGTTCGCCTTTATCGAAAGTTGACGCACCATTTCGTTTATCATTAATCAACGTAATACCGATTGCATTTTTTTTTAATAACCCTGTATTGACTTTTTGGTTTGACGTTTGGTTGTTATTGGCTTGGCTCGATGCCGCAGCATTGCCGCTGTTGCTGCTACTTCGATTCGGTAATGTGACGCTATCGCTCTCCTGCGATAAGACTATACTGCTTTCTTGGTTTGATAAGGTAACTTCCCTGTCGTGTGACGGGAAAATTAAACTTGTTTCTTGATAACTGGGTCCGACATTACTTGGGCGCCCTGATATTCTGCCAGCACCGTCTTCTCTTCCGGACTCAGCATCTGCACTTGCAAACATTAATTTCGATTTGTCCTTTGCCGCGCTGAAATGGGTTTTTGTTATATTTCGCAGAACACTATTTACAGTACGGCCGTCAATTTTACGGGTTCACTAGGATTAAAAAACTTCTCAGGTTAGTTTCATTGAGTGCTATAAAATGTATATATTGTGTCCCTTCTATAACATGTTTGTTATTCGAAAATGCATGCAGTGATAAGTGACCGCTGACACCGAACCGTTGGCCACGCACAAAGTTTTTGACTGAAGACTGAAATTAGTGATTTTGGTAATTTCAGATAATAGTAACGTAGAAAACGTGAACATTTGTATCGTTCCCTACGTTCCTAGTTCTGACGCTCAACAGTACATAAGACAATGTTAGCGATGTGTCATGTCCGTTCGTGTCTACTGCATGACCCATGACGCGGAAACTGACTGCTGTGACGATGACTGGACATCATCGTAGGGAAGCTATGCCTCAAGGGATTACCCCTTCTATATGAGACTGCCACTTGCGCTTCCGTAACCGATCATGCTGGCTCCAATCAAATGCTTTTTTACAATCTCTATACCCCCTGGCGATATATGCAATGACACTTGTACAATAAATCACTAGAACACAATTTAAATGTAACTCACCCAAATAGATATTTAAATTCAAAGGTAAATGTTCTTTGCTAGATCTCCATATATTGAAAGGGTTAACGTAGAAAACATAGCCTATAAACACGATCAACGAATTTTCTGCATAGGAAATGCAAATCTTTCTGATATTTTTCTTTTATAAATGGAAATTACAGTGGTACAGATTATTTCTCACCTTGTAGCTTCCTCAGCCACTTTCGTTGTCAACGGCGACTTTCTTGACTTCTCTGTGCACGATCGCTGAATACCAGCTTGAAACCTTTTAGTCCCTGTATTGACTGATGTGGATGGGAGTTCCGATTGGCCAACTATATGGTCTACCGGAATATCTTGAGACGATAAATCAAAAGCGTCGTCTACGAGTACAAATTTGTAGGAGACATTTTTCTAGTTTAATAATTATGTCGCGCGAAAAATTTCTCCATTAGCTAGAACTTATTCGATGTGATCGTGGGGTCGTATGTAATGTTCTATTATGAAAAATGCATACGATATTACCATGGATGGCAGTGTCATCCAAGTATAATACTTGTAACAGGCCGTCCCGTAATATCCATCATCAAGATATGACCTCAGCCCGCTTTGATCGTATTAGAAATTTCTAACAGCCCCTAGCGATTTTGCCTGTATTTTAAATTCTAGTTTCTAGACTATATTTCCATTTCAATATGCACTACGGTTGTTAAGAGTTACAAAAATCATATATCGCCGTTTTCGAAAACGTATTTAACGTATCACCGCTAGTGTTCAAAGTTTTCCACCAAAGAATTCTTTGAACAGCTTCAATATATGGAAGAAAGATTACGCACTTTGTGCTAGCTGATCCTCCGATGACGAGACAAACCAAGCGGCATCAGACATATCATGTCTCCTTGCAGGATCCTCATGGACAAGCAAAGGAGCCTCTACTAGCACTCGACGAGCATGTTCCCTGCGAAGCATGGCATGTGACCGAAAATAAATCACCTGCCGGGCGGTAAATAGATTAATTATCATTGACGTTATTAGAAAAAGCAAACAGGCTTAATTAGGTCAATTGAAGAAATGGGACCTGAATATGGCCATCATCCTACGGGAATGCGCGTCACTTTTTATGGAAAAACTTCTTATTTTGTATCTATATTATGTATTACATGTGTACAGACGTTTGCTATTGCTTCTTTCCTATTCTCATGAGCGGCGTGTTGGCGATCGCTTTGAAGAAACGAATAATCTTCTAATATCGTCTTGGCGTTACACCGAGATTGCATTGTGAAGCTAGAAAGTTTTGATGATTGGCTCGGTCTATATTTGGAACAGTTTAAGTCAAAATTCGATTAGAAGAGCCTACAGGATTAAGTAGCAAGTTCCGAACGCTACGTTCATTTAGATCATTTATCAGTGCTCATTATTGCACTCTTCTACGAAATCCTATTCTTGAGCTTGGAGTCGAGCTTTTTCTGTGGAAAACTTTTATCCTTCGGCTTATAGTAACTTTTGTATATATACTCTACGCTAGAGAATATGTCCTAGTATGTAACTATCAGCTGGCGTTCACTATCAGTGATTGGATGTAGTAATGACAATATCTATGATCGGTCAAGAACTTAAGTTCGCTGATATTCAATTCGCACACGTACGCTTTCGTAAAAAAACAAACGTTAGCGCCTAAGTTTAGCGTTATACTAAACCCAGGTCGACTTTAAGGTTCGGCAAATCCGACAAGTCGAATGGAGCATTATTATCGCTTTTATTACTGCTATTGAGATTGTTGCCGAAAGGTCGAAATGCGCCTACGTCTAAGTTCGAAACAAGGTAACTTCTGAATCCTTCCGGCTAATAGGCGAGGAAGTTGTCGCGTTAGCATCGTGAAGAAATGCGCTTCCAACGACATAAAACTCAGGGTATAACAGTAAAAGTTTCCCGCAGATGATACCGAGAGCGCAATATGTTTCCATACGAAGAATAATCAGGATGTTTCTATGTAACAAAGAAACGGTGGGCTAACAGTCTCTTATTTCAAATATATTTGTATAGGTAAGTTAATCAACCAAATTTATTATCAATGCAACGAATGGTATGGGTTAATATATGTTAAGTTTGGCTTCAAAAACGCGCAGATATTTCGATAACTGAACAAACGGGATGAGATAGGAATTCTAGAAGTTTGGGTAAAATGTATTGTTATTATAATTCCCAAAAGTGCCCAATCATCCAGCACCCTAAGAGGAATCGCGAAGGTTGATTACATCGATGCGCTTTTGTCGAACATCTTCGCACGATCGCTAATTTTTTTTTTCGTACAGGTATCGAAATGCTTTGCCAGGCAAACCGCACAATGAAGGGTATCACTCAAGGTATACTTAGCGGCCTTCAGAAACACTTGAGAGTGACCATTGATGACGTGGTCAAGGACAGGAACAGCGTTTGGATAGCAGTTCTATAGAAGAACCACGTAAGTCTCCTGATCTCTTTTCGCCTCATCAGTAACCGCTCTGCGTACATCAGCAATAGCCCTATAGGAAGGTAGTCAGCATTGAGGTTCATATGGCTAAAAAAAAACCGGCAGATGATACGAATTTGTGTTATCTATAAAAGAGAGCCCAAGGCTATTCAACTCTTTTACGTATTTTACCAAAAACGTGGAAGCCGTGCACGATAGACAAGGGTAAGGCTTTAGGTAAGCAATAGCGTTCTCGAAAATCAAATTGTCTGGAAAAAGCCAAGGCCCTACGATTGTTGATAGAGCGAAGTTGGCCTTGGTAATTTTCATATTTGGGCTCTATGCATTGAAACACCGTATCAGTTGAAAAAGAGGTTATCCTTCGCCGAAGATACCTTTGAAAACGTTCAACTTCCCCTAAACGGTAACTTCATACATTCCTATTTAATCTACAGCACTAGACATCACTGATAGTGAGCAATCGTAATCAACTCACAAAACAGTGTTTGCCATTTAAATTAAAGTGAAAGTTCGAAACATTTTTCTCGCTATAGCTTTATGTATATATATTCCATAGGCATATACGGAAAGCATTAGACCTATATATACGTTAGGTTATATTTTGCAGTTGTATTTAGTATTCGCACTAAGGTACATCATTTGAGATTCGCCTATTGCTAGACACCATACCTGGGGCAATATTTGTTCACGCAAGTGGTTTCTATAATCAAACGATGGTAAAGGCGGTAAGCTGTTCTGGTTAAATGAATGGGTCGCTTTCAGTGGGGGCGGAGCCAGAACAGGAGACGAAAGCAGCGCCCCCACAGTGACAAATACCGGTCTCATCTCTAAGGGCACAGCATGCCGCTTTGCACGCTGGATTTTTGGGCTGGCTGTTTTTGCGAGAGACCACGATGGCGGAAACGACCCATTTTAAACGCGCCACATCCGGCTACGGTCCGTAATACCTGAAACCAAATGATAATGTTGCAATTTTGCGAGAGTATTATTGTTTATCTTGAGATTTGGCATCGCCTAATACTGCGTGTATATAAGAGCAAACAGTGTTTTCTGTCCGTTTTGTAGTCTGTGGTGCGTTACCAAAAAATCAGCCAAAAGAGGTACATGAGTGTAAATTCTTATATGATTTCTTCCTGCATTTAGACAGTCTCTAGATTTTGGATAGCCAAAGGACACTAGAGCAATTGCGAGCAACATCTGTGACATGCTTCAAAAAATCTGTAACACGCTTCTGGATTTTAATATTCTAGGTTTGGATACTAATGAATAGCTTCAGAAACAGGGAAGACCGGTAGAATTTAGTTCGGTTGACACGGAACCGAAGTTCTACGGTGGCTTCATTCCTTCAGACTTGAAGGAATGAAGCCACCGTAGAACAGAAGGAACTGTTTCGCTCGACCGTTTTTCAGTGAACAATTTTTTAAAAATCTTTTTCAAATCAGAATTGAAAACCTTCTTTGACAGCTCGCCGTATTTCTATTACAACATACGTATTACATCTATATATATATATATATATATATATATATATATATATATATATATATGGTTTCATATGATTATTACAGGCGCTAATGAGTACATACACGTGTTCTGAAAAGAGCATGTTTAAGCTTCAGAGTGAACAGATTGCGATACCTTTTATCGGTAACAGGTGCGGCCACTATATTGCTTGAACAAAGTCAATGTCACACGAAAGATACAATCATTTTATAAAGACGGTCTGATATAAACAGTCTGCTGGAAGCAAATGTGTGTGTCTTAAATTACGTTACCGTTAGTTTATCGTCATTGTTAATTGCTTATTTGATGCCAACAATCGGAACCATTTCTGGTTGTGTTAACGCTATAGAAGTGAAAGCGATTGTTTAGCTCTTGTATTAGTGCTTTTTTATTTTGGGACGTCACTCATTTTCGAGTGCGGTGCGCCGGCCAATGCATCGTAAACCCTTTCGCCCGTCTAATTTTTATGGAAATAGCCCGACTGCTAAATAAGTCGAGGGTAAATATCTGTAACTCAGAATGACCTAAGTCTAAGTTACGGAAATGAACACAATGGTGAAATCGCTTCTCTCCCATCATAGATCCGTTGCCGTAATGCGGTGACAATGAGCCTGAATTCGTTTTCGGATAATGAGATTATTAAGCATACATCAATGCTATTGTGCCGCAGTTACTCCAAATAGATTTGACCTTTTAATCTGCTAGCAAAAGCATGAGTCCATCAGGAGTCTTCAAGCCGCTATTTAATAAATTGCTAGGCTGCACGTCAGCCTCGTACTTCCACACTTATTACGGAAGTACGGTAACTTAATAAGAATAACTAAATTTAAACTGATATCAATATTCGCGGTGTTGCAAATAGTTTTGCGACATCTACGGTATTGGGTATACCCATGGATCGCTAGGACACAGCAAGAGCGTCCCACAAGAAGACAGGAATAGGTAATTCAGAGTCCGCATAGTGCGTACCGTGTAAAACAAACTCAGTATAATAAGCTGTTCGTGAGAAGACTAGAGCAAAGTTAGTTAGTCAAATCTTAGTCTTAATATTTACGTCCTCTACATCTATATATTCGGTCGTCCATATGGTCACATATCGTTCCAAGACTTTCGTTCACGGCTTAATTATGAGCAGTTATGGTCGTATTATAAAAACGTTTGCGTTTTGCTTTAAATTCTATATAATTTTTTCGCATAAGGTCTATCTTAAGTTTCGATCAAGTAAGCGAGATTGGATTTTTTTTCATAAGACATAGCAACAAATCAGACGCGTTTAACCCTTAACCTCTGATTCATAACAGGGACACATAACAGGTCAATGATCATTCTATAAAACTATGCCAAAATATCAACTAAGGATCATTTAATCATTTGAAAATACAACACAGCTTAGTGGAAATTCTAAAAGATGGCTCATTAAAAAGCTTTATCTTCTTCTTCTTTTCCTGCCTTGCGTCCGTTACATAATGTTATCTTTTTTTTCCTATGTGTAACGATATATCAGTAGGTTAACACGGAATATCCACCAACGCTAGTACACGGATGTGTAAGTGGGACCATTGTGGTTATTATATGTTTCCTATTTTCAATGCTTGTCGCATAAAGCTTGGCAATCATCATCTGATTATTGATTTTTTTTTTACTGAATCTGAAAATATAATCCCCACTGTTTAATAAACAAATTATCGTTTTGAGAATTAGTTCTATAAAAAATAACAAGCGCACATAGTTGCGGGGTACTTTTACTTAACTCAACTTTATCTCAGCATCTATAATTAGATCAGTATTATAGTGCTATACATCAATGACGCTCTTGATAGGGTTCAAAGCAGGAACCAAGCTTGGCTTAGATTAATTACGGTGTCGCTTGAGATAAACCCTATTAAAGCGGCGTTTTGTCACCATTATAAGATCCACTGTAATATGTACATGTTTATATTAAGCTCATTTACACAGTTTTGCCTCAAGAGAAGGAAGCGTCTGTTTTAGAATTAGTATAAGCCAGTACAACGAGGTGTTTTTCTGTTTCTGTGATACCAAACAATATGATTACGAGCGTTATATGGTTTATGGGATTATTATATGATTACCTATAGCGAAATAAACTTTATTTGACTATGTTCAAGATGGGGGGCAAAATATATACTTACAGCCGCGAGGCCGCCGAATAACCTGGTGAATTTTGCCCAAACACTAGCTGGAACTTTAGCGAGTGGCTTTATCATTGTATATTATGGAAATTAACAAGATAAAAATTTCATGAAAATTAGCTATGTTTCGACGCAGACGAGGCACGCAATTTTACGATGTATAAATGTTCGTTTGAAACATTCAACGAGACCTTGTGACATGTACCAAACGATCCGCTTAACAAAAAGGATTAATATGTAAGCATAACATTTATAGAATGATATAAATATGTTTTCGCTTTTAATTCAAAGCTCATAAATTTGTATTTTTAAAGCTTATGCTTGCGACTCATATATGCGTCAAAGTATATTCATATATATCTCTCTTAGAGTCAAAACTTCAAGTTATGAGGTGAGTTAATAAATCAGAAAAAGCACCTATCAACCATTTCGGTACATGTCTGAAATTTTGCTACACCGTGAAGTGCCCAATCGGCCGTACAAGACCCAACCGTTCTGTGCTACTCGGGCCCCCCACTTCAGTACTCTAAATGCAGGTAAATATAAGAAAATGTGCCTTTCTCTAGCCTGTCTTAATCATCATAAGTTCCTACCTCGAATACACATTTAGAATTGCGTTTTCCTTTAAACGTTGTGAACTGCGACGCCAATCTCACTGTTAACTTAATTGGCCAGCTTCCAACAAACAGAAGGTAAACGAAAACTGATATTGTCAAGCAGCTCAACCGAACTGTTCGTGAAGCAATTCTGGTTTAGAAAAGTTATACGACAGAACCGGTAGGCCTCAACTACTAGGCCACTGGCGTATTTCCGGTGTAAGGGCAAAACAGGATTAAGCGTTTGCTATATGCATAATTGTTCTCCCTGCGTTGACGCTAACATTGTTCGTAGGCACTCGCAGCAAGCGTTGACACGACGACAATAACTTCATTAGGAGGGCAACTTTTACGTATTCAAGTTGCGCAGTTGTCGTTCTTTTAATTAGCACTGAGTGTTCCGTGACTCATACTCGAGCTTGTCAAGGCCCCTTGAGAACGCTGTTCATGTGGCAGTCTTTTTTTCTGTAAATGATTTACCCTTGTCATCGCTGCTTATGGCCCATGCGCGTCGCACTTATTTTCGTGAATGTTCTTTGTCTATGAATTCAAGTTAGCTAACGACCTTAGAGCGGCGAACGCATTTTGAGTGCAAGTTACACCAAACCCGGCCAAAATTTTATCTACAACAGAGAAGGGCCTCATAAAAAATGTACTATTATATAGTTATTGAAGATCCGTAACAAGCGTGATGCTCCTATACAGTAAAGTAAAAAAAAAAAAAACAGAAATTTCTGTTCCTAAATATAGATAATACCCAACCGGTCTAAATAACTGGTAAACATGTAAAGCGGTCTGTAAGCATTGCTAGACGGCACACATGTTGCATGCAGAATCATTCCTTTAGACGTCCTGACGGCATCATGATTCAGATGCTATCAAAGTTTTATTACATCAAGAGAAAATGACGTATTTGCCTTACACTTTGTCACAAAAGCAGTCCTTTATTTCAGCGGTGGGTATATCCGGAGCTTTTGGGGGCGCCGCGCGCGGTTTGTTTAAACCTGTCAGTGGCCTTATTTAAGGAATACAAACGTTTCGAGTGTTGAAACGGACAAAAACCGCTTACGACTCATTATACGGGAAAGCAAATTAAGCGCATTGAACGAAAAACTTGAAATACAAAAAACTTCCTCATGAATCGCAGGGAGTATGAAATTAGGTTGGTATCCACCCCTGTGCATTGTGTTAAGCATAGATAAAAACTGAATTAAGCTGTTTACAACTTTTTGATGACAGAGCAGCATACCTTTGCAACTACTTATGTTGCAAAGTATTGCTAATCCTTTGGGCCTTTATCAAATGGAAAGCATGCTCTTTCGATTGTCTGCTAGGTAGTTGTCTTACTCACGATCAGCACAAATTAATAATAACAGTACGAAAAACCTCAACGACCTAACGTTTTTGTGAACGAACGCGTACCTCGGCGTACTATTTAGTGCTAACTAGGTTGACTCGTCCAGTTACGATAAAGCAGCTGCCGCTTAGAACGCATCTGCTTTAAGGTCGTCGTCACCACTTCACACTTCACTTAGCTCAACTTAAAAACGATGGCGCGCTATTTTAGTCATAATAAATAAACTATAATTAATAATATATGCATTCCTCTATTTTTTTTTAAGCATTTTTAAAACAATTTAACACATGTGGACGCACTTTCACTTATAATACAAATATTGTCGAAAATTAATCAGCTTA